GAGAGAGAGAGAGAGAGATCACCTCAACTTGTCTGAAGGGCTGCATCTCCGTTTAAATGCACATGATAGTGCATTTGAAGGCAGAGAAATGCTTGGAATGAACGTCAATTGCTCATCCTATAACAAATAGAAATTCTTAAATAAATTGACCAGGGAACAGGTTTGCAGATGATAATAGTTGATGTTAGAACATTGCATAAAAGAACAATCTTGATCAACAAAATAAGCAAAGTTGATAGTCGGAAGGGCAAAATAAGACACAAAAAATCTCTGAAAATAAACACGAAAGGGAAAAGAATCATCAAAAGAAAGAGTTGAGTCAAATAAAATTATAAACCATGACAATAAATTTTTGCCAAAGTCAACAAGAAAAGAAAGAACAATATCCTTTGCTGAAAGAATGTCAGAAAGAAACTACCTTGTATGCATATCTTAAATCCAAATTTTCTTCATGGTATCGAGCAGTACAAACTCCATTCAGAGTATGGCTTTTAAAAATCCCATTTACTGACAGAGTTCTTTTTTGTTCCTCTTCTTCCTCCTCCTCTCTCTCCTCAAATGTAACTTCGCCAAGAGGATATTTCAATGTTGCTCTTGGCTGCAGCATAGAAAAGGCATAATGCAGTAAGAAAACTTAAATGTCTACTAGTTATATTTAAAAAAATGAAAAGAAGAGGAGAACATATAGTAACGTAGTAGAATGACAGAAATCGAAAGAACGACCATGTAAAAGATGCTCGAGATTTAAACTTCATCATGTAGCACAATAACTATGACCCTTTGCATGTGAAGTCCATAAACTTCAAAAAGATACTAGTGTTAAAGGTAAGAAAAGTATATGATCTTTTATCTTGTTACTAAGGTGAAATACAAATAGACATCACATAACTAGATGTCAAGAAGATAGATTTGTAACATCTGGCTCAGTTTAAATAGGACAAGCATATTAAAGAAATCCTGTGATGAATAATTCTCACCATGCCAACAGATGGAACAGCAGAAGATAATTCAAATTTGTAGGCAGAAGTCCCAAGATCTGCAACCATTGCAACCTCTCCTTGTTGAGCCTAAAAGTTGCACAGAAGTACTGTAAGCAAAGAGCATGGACGCACATAGAATTGTATAATATATACCTAGACACTTAGAAAGATATTGCAAACTACACATTGTTGACCTGCTCTTTTCAAATGGTTAGAAAATCATTCCATCTCTCATTCTAGACGAAAATATTGCTTTTCAATGGATCTCATATGACTTTACTACCATAACTAAGTCACTTTCTCAGTATATATAATCATCCTTTTCAGTTTACTAAAATCAGTCTACATTTTTACTTAAGAGTTCTAAAACATCAGATTTAAATTCAGAAGAACAATATTAAAGAACCTAGTATTCTAAGAAATAAGTTTTTCGGGGTAAATACACCGTAAAATTTTTCAGGAATAGGCAGTGCGTATATTTAAACTGGTGTTAACTAACCAAAGAGGACACAACAGTCCCAGCCAATTAGTAAAGTAAATTAACAAAAAGATTATTGGAACAGTAAGGAATTTATAATATTTTCTTTCAAAACCATAAGCAGTATCGTGGAATGCAACCATCTTTTCCAAAAAAAAAA